CCTCCACCCCCTGAGTCACCCGCATTGATCCCTCAAGCACCGAACTGGATCCCAAAGTCACTTCTACCGGACTCCTCACCGCCAAATTTCCACCCGGATCAAACACTAGCAAAGCCAGAATAGTCAACCCAATCATCTGAAAGTCTAATCTAGCAAACCTAACACCACAGTAGCTTTCGAAGCCATTGGACATCAACGACATCAAATTGGGGAAAAAACAAACCTGGGTCTTCTTTACCAAACTGAGAGCTCTTTTGTCTTCCTCCAGGCCAGGACCAGATCCGACGCTGCCCCGGCAGATTCTGTGGTTTCCTCCTGCCCGCAAATGGCTTTAGTGATGAAACCACTGTCAAAAGAAATCAGCTTTGTTGTGAAGCTCGCCTGCCTTGGTGATGAGAAGCGAGGATGCCCCTCGTCGATTGCCGATTGCCGTGAAAACGGCCCTGAAACTTGCGTATAGCTATACGCCGCCAACGCTAAACCTAGCCGCAGCCAGGCCCTCTCCGCTTTAATCAGATTCAGATACAAAGACCACTATGCACAAGGTAGTTTAAATCCTCAATTTAGAAATTATAGTCGCAAAACTGTTAAGAAAGAAATAATACGGCTTTATAATGCGAAAAAGGCGAGGTTACAAATTTTTTTTGCAAACTTTGATGGACGTGTTACTATTTGTTCTGACATATGGGAGGATGATTTTCATCATTTATATTATTTGCGTCTGACTGCACATTATATTGATGAGGATTGGAATATGCATAAACGTGTTCTTGCTTTTCGTGAATTTAATGATCGTCACACCGCTGAACATATTTATATTTTGATTGAGCGTATTTTAATTGAGTATAATTTGATTGATAAGGTGTTTGCTATTGGTTTCGATAATGCTACTAATAATACTGCTGCTATACCTAGATTGCGTGAGTTGTGTGGTGCCAATACTTTGATGGGTAGATTTTTTCATCAACGGTGTGCATGCCATGTTATAAATTTATGTGTGCAAGACGGTTTAAAAGCGTTAGGAGATTTCATGGAGGTAATCAAGGGGGGGATTAGACGTATTTAGGGCAATGGTCAACTTAGATTAAAATGGCAAACTTATTTGACTGAAAGAGGTGTTAGATATGTTGCTTTTCCTAAAGATTTGAGTATTCGTTGGAATAGTACTTATAAATTACTTAAAGTTGTTCTTAGATATAAAGAACATTTTCCTGCTTTTTTAAAAGAACATGATAACTATATTATAAACGCGGCTGAGATCGACACTTGCGAAAAAATTTGTAATGTTTTGATATTTTTTTTTAATGCTACTGAAACTTTTAGTCATGTTTATAAACCTACCACAAACCAATTTATTCGTGAAGCTGTTAATCTCGCCGGTGCTTTTAAAGAATTTGAGAATGCCGTTTTCGTTCATTATTTTTGTAATTATATGAAGGAAAAGTTTTCAAAATATTATGCGCATATTCCCCATATTTATGGTATTGCATTTATTCTCGATCCTCGTTATAGACTTGCTAATTTGGAAGATTGTTTCAACTTCTATTATCTTGCGTTTTTTGGTAAATTTCCAATGTATGACGATAATCTCATAGATCCGAAAACGGAATACAACGAGGTTAGCACTTTATTTTATGCCTTATTTAATGAGTTTCGTGCACAATATAGCAACGCTCCCCCACCCCGTCACGAACATATTCATCTAAAGGAAAATCGATTTTTAAATCTGCATTTGGCAATCATATGAAAAAACAAAAACAACTCACGTCACTGAACAAAGTGCATTGAATGAGATTACTTTGTATTTAACATATGAAGTTGATTTTGAAGAAAATGATGACTTTGACGTTCTAGACTTGTGGAAGTCAAAAGAAAGAATGTTCCCGATTTTAGCACGGATGGCTAAGCAAGTACTATCAATGCCGATTTCAACAGTTGCTGTGGAACAAGAATTTAGTTCGGCCGGCAACGTCCTAACGGCATCTAGATCGAGATTGAGCGCGGAGTCTCTTGAGACGCTTATATGCTACCACGATTGGTTGAAGGCCGCACGTAGAACTCAAGAAATGAGCATCACCCCCTCCCAAGATTTTATGGATGACTCAACAACCGATGGTGGCTCTACCTATGCCGGAGATTCCGATTGATTAATATTTTAGAATTTATTATAAAATGTATTTTATAGCACTTGTCAAATTTATTTATACTTGTATTTCATATTTCAAAATTGTAAACTTGTACTTCATATTTCAAAATTGTAAATTTGTAGTTGTACTTCAAATTAATTTGTAAACTTGTACTTCATATTTCAAATAAATATGTGTTCAATTTTGTTATATGTAGCACTTCTCAAATTAATTAATTGATTACAAACTAACGACTTAAAATTATTTTTCTAAAATATAAAGCCGGTTTTTAAATTAAAAATACATTTACAATATGTAATTTGTTTAAATACTTATACACCTATTTTGTAACATTTGTAAATTATAAATCAAACCACTTTTCTAAGTACAAATAGTTTTAGTTTTACTTAATTCATTAAATTAATTAATTTATTTTACAATATGTATAACTTAAAAAAAATTGAAATCAAACCTCCCAAACGGCTATATAGCCGTTGGGGCTATGGGTGGGGGGGGCAGGGGGGGTCCCGGGGGGTGGTGGTGTGGGGAGTGGGGTTCAAAAACATCTATAAATACATCTATTTTCTAATATTTTTCTACACCTCTTCTCCAATTCTTCTCCAACTCTTCTCCATCTTCATCTTCTCTTATTATCCTACATTCCTACAATCCTACTTATACATATATCATTTTAAATATGGAAAGTACATCCCTTATGCAAAACAATTTTGACAAGTGGAAGGACCCGAAGACCGGACTGTGGTGGGCAACTTGCAGGTGGTGCAAGAAAGAGTGTTGCTTGGGGCGTTCATACAGATACGGGATGCCAATAAAACATATGAAGTCCTGTGACAAAGGGAAAACAACAACCAACGGTGGCGGAAATCCCAATTGATATTCATTAGAAAATGTATTTCGTATTGTTATTTTTTTCTCAATTCTCAAATGTAGTTCTTATTTCAAATAAATGCACTTGAACTTTGTTTTTAATAGGAATTTGTAGAATATATAATTAATTTTAAAAAAAAAATACTGGCCCGGCCCGGCGGATGGCCCGACCCGTGACCCGGGCGGGTGGCCCGGCCCGAACCGGAACCGGCCATTGCCCGGGCCGGTCCCGGGCCTACCATTACCTGACCCGAGGCCCGACCGGGCCTTGGCCCGGCCCGGGTCCATCACTACACATATCTACAGTTTTGGAACACCTTCTTATGCACAGTTGTCAGAAATGCATGTTTGATTGTCATAGTAGTATTTAAAGTACCTTATCGTGCTAGAGTATTTGGAACCATGTTGATATGAATTGATAAATGGTATTGGATCCTGTAACTCTGTAAGTTCCATTTGGGTTTTCTTTCGGAACTTCTATTTATTATGGAGTATTTTTTCCCGTTAAAATACCTTATCACTAGAGTATTTGGATGTTGGAACCATCAACCATGTTAATTACCTCCCATATTTGTTCTCGTTTTTGTCATCTTATTTGATCTAATCTACCTTCTCTCGGAAGTTGATGTGAATGTGAAGTGTGGCTCAAATCCTTGAATATCAAAGCTTCCTAGTAATTGACGATAACTTTCTGCTTTATGAGGTGATTTTTCATTTTTATATGAAATTCAGGACTCCAATTACATCTTAAGTAAAATTCAATATAAGTAGTGTTTAGTATGTTTAATTTTGTAAAACAAATTCCTAATAACTTATCAACTTAAATTTTTATTTCAATTTCTTTGCAATAAATTGAAGTCAAAGGCACGAAGGACGGAAGGAGTACACTTTTGAAGCTACTACGTATTTGCCTATTTGTCCTTACATTTTAACAACTCTTGTCGCAATTTGAAAGTTCATTTTATATTTATGGGGTGTGGACTTGAAATCTCAAGAATAAGAAGTAATTAGTGTGAGTGAACGTGTATATTCAACCTTCCTCAAGATAATTTTGAAAATGACAAATTAAAGCCTTGAATTTTACACACCATCTTCCCGCCAACACTTGTGTCTTGACTCTTGATGGGTAAATGGGTTAAGCAACCACGGCAACCATGATGGAGGACCACCCTACAACACTCACCACACAAAGGAGAGGATTTTGGTCTCGTCACTCCCGTCGATTGAGTGGACGAGTAGGCTCCCTCGATGGGAGCCTAGAACCAGTACTAGAAGGTTCCGGTTTCATAGTATTCTGATTCCGATTCAGAGGACAAGTCTAATTTGACTAGATTTGTTTAAGTTTAATCTGGTTAGTTTTATCTGAATTGGTCTAGTCTGACAAGTACCTATTAGATGTGTATTTAATACTCCCTCCGTCCCGGATGGAACTTGACGTTTGCTTTTGGCACGGTATTTTAGGAGCTGAATTAATAAAAGAACATTTAAATGTCTTACATGTCGTTTAACTTTTAAATGAAATTAATGCTATCCACTCAAATGTAAAAAGTGGGTGTGTGTGAAGGGTAGTTAGATCATTTAATGTAAAAGAAGATGCCTAAAAGAGAAACACAAACGAGTAAATGTGACGTCACAAAAGGGAAAGAGTAAAAATTTAAATGGGATAGAGGGACTGAGGGAGTAACTATCAAAAATTGATCTAATTTGATGTTATTTAGTGTAATATGATTGGATCGATTTATGATTGAATCATTCTACTACCTCCGTCCCTTAAAACTTTGCCATATTTGACCGGCACGGGGATTAATAAAGTAAAAATTGTGTGGTAGAGGTTTGTGCAGAGGAGAGAGAATTAACTGGAACAAAAAATTCTTTACTTAAAAGGGAAAGTGGCAAAGTTAGTGGGACATCCAAAAAAGGAAAGTTGACAAAATTTTAAGGGATGGAGGGAGTAATTAAAAATATTTTTCGGTTACCGATCCAAACAAGGCGCAATTAGAGGTAGTCAACTAGTCATCTACTCCTCTTCAAGAAGTTGACCCCACCGATCGTCTTCCTAATACCTTCCGCGCTCTTGTTGCCATCGCCTACGGAAGATTTCTCTTCATCCTGTTCGGCTCATTCACCAGCCATGGATCTGCAACTATGGGAGAGCATGAAAGAGGCAATCAAATCATTCACATCTCTATCTCCAGCAGCTCTATTCACTATTGCTGCTCTATTCATTGCCATCTATTATGTAGCTTCTGCACTTTTCGGGCCCTCCGATCATAGCGACTACCAGAGGGTCAGGGATTCGGAGGAGGAGAGTAAGCCTCTTCCGCCGCCGGTTCAGGTCGGGGATATCAGCGAGGAGGAGTTGAAGCAGTATGATGGGTCTGATCCTAACAAGCCTTTGCTTATGGCCATCAAGGCTCAGATCTATGATGTAACTCAAAGCAGGTAGATTCATAATCTCAAAGTAGGGTATGAATTTGATGTCTGATTTCTCTTTTTTAGTAAAAGTTTTCCTTTTTCATTTACTTCTTTTTGCGTTGACAAAACTTTTGGCCCTTTTCTCATCCAGGAATCTGTGTTTTCTGTGGTAATATTATGAGTCTTTTAGAGCCTGTTGCCCCGTTCGGCCATGGTTATTTGGGTGAAATAGTTTAGTCTCTTGTATTTTCTCAAATAAAGGCAAAAGATGCTTATTTTGATTATTTCTTTTGTTTATTACGGTTATTCAGCTGAAAATTTTATTCTCTGTTTCGTAATTTAGAATTATGGCAATCTAAACATCTAGCAAATATCAAATTTTATTGAACATTTTCTGTCTTGGAAATTTCAACATTACAATTTACAGTACTAGGTGTAATTAAAATTCTGGAAAATTTTTATGTTGCTGAAAGTATTGCTGTACGGATTCTGCAATAGTGCTTTTCAAGCTCTAATATGGGTGTTATTATTTCTGTTACATTCCAATGTTGGGATATTAAAGATTGAATGATTACTGAATAAAACCTGGAGTTGGACTAGCTAGTAAATTAAATTTAACTTTTTTGTGTGATATGGCTCAAGTGCACAGTATCTAGCTGAATGACCCCAACCCAAAACTGAATTCTATTGTATCGAGTATTTTTGTGACTTTTCTTCTTGACGCTTTTCGGTAATTTGTCTTCGATTGATCAAAGTGATTTTTTTGGGACACTATGTATACGTAGAAGCGGTTGAATTGTCGCTACTGAGGGATTCACGCTTTCCAGCAAAGCAGATTCACCACTGATGCATGTTTTTCTTTCTGATTTCTGGGTGTTACTGCAGAATGTTTTATGGACCAGGAGGACCATATGCTTTGTTTGCTGGAAAGGATGCGAGTAGAGCACTTGCTAAGATGTCTTTTGAGGAGAAAGATCTTACAGGCGACATCTCTGGGCTTGGCCCATTTGAGCTCGAGGCTCTACAAGATTGGGAGTACAAGTTTATGAGCAAATATGTCAAGGTTGGAACTGTGAAGCAGCAAGTGGCTGGAAGTGAAGAAGCAATAGCTGCTGCTACGAATGGTGAAGCTTCTTCAGAAGTAACTACTGAACATGATGAGGCCGTTAAGCCCGGAGAAGATGTCTCATCAGAGAGTGCTAGTAAGGACGGCCCGTCCGAAACCGTTACCCATGTGGAGAGTACCACACCAGAAAGTATTATTGCAAATGATGGAAATGCTGAGAAAAAGGAGTAGAAGGCTGTCTTATTGTTAGCAAGGAAAACTGTCGAGGGGGAGAGCTAATAGCTAATAACATTACTTCAATGTCTGTTTTGTCTGTCATCGTTTTTTCTTGATACTTGAACTATACTGTAGAAAGCTTCTACTATAGGTAAAATCTCTTCTCATATCTCAATGCCTTTTTGGCCAGTTTGTTTGCGGCAATAAAATAATGAATCCACCATTTTCACCACCACTGGAACTTTCCAGGAACTTTGGATAGCTTTTGGAGTCTTTGGACACGACCCTGATTCCTTTGAAAAGATGTATGATTTCTCAGGTTCCGTTTTCTATTTCTCGTGTTTCTTCGCATGTGCAACATAATCACGTGTAATGTATGGACTATGGACATAACTGCGACAGACTTGTTTTTTAATGAATGATATAATTCCTTTTGTGCACAGACACAGACATAATTTGCCAAACATTTTTTTTGCCAAACATTTTTTTTGTCAAAAAAAATTGTGTTCGAACAAAATTTAGTAGGTGACAGCATTTATGGCACTGTGGTAAACGAGTAGATTTATGGAACCCCACCATAGGTGGCAGCCTTTGTGGCACTTGGGTAATGATGATTATGATGACAAAGTTTTTCTTTTATAACTTTTTACATGATTATTTTATCTTAGTAATTTAAATAAAATTGAAACTTGGGGTGAGACGGTGTCTAAGTTGGCCTCCCTAACTTACAGACTTTTATTAAAGTAACTGTGATAGTAATTAAAGTATAAAAATCATATTTGTATCTACTATTGTTTTAGTCTATATATTTGTCATTAGGAGAAACAAGGATTGAAGAAAAGGAAACCGATCGCTTTGGATATAATGTGTGTTCATGAGTTCATAAATTGCATTGTAGTTGTAAACCAAGATCATCCAACATTTTATGCGCTCCTAGCCTCCTACGGCTTACCCATTTCCTTCTTCACACACCTCCTTGACACAAAATAATGAAAATCCCTCATCTCTTATCGCCCAACAGATCTTATGTTTGGTGTACCTTGCTCTGCTGGGTAGTGGGTACTACCTAATTGCTGCCCGACTATTAGATTGATTTGTCCTAGTCCAAATGTAAAATGACATTGAAATCCCTATTTGATAAGTTAAGCCTGTTAATTTTTCTACATGCTTATATTGCATAAATTAACAATATTGTATGATTACACCATAGTACTATTATACTCAATGTCAATATTGTCAATTGCAAAAAAATGTCAATATTGTCTTACAAACACATCTTGTAGCCTTTAATTAAAGACCAAGCTGAATACAAAAAATGTAATTCCCAAAGTTATTTATTAATTATAACAAGATTTATCTAGCTAATCAAGCTAGGACAAAAGCTATTTAAAAATTAATACGGAGTATAGACGAATTTGACACCATCGTGAAACAACCCGATAGTTTCGTAATCAGTTTGTATGAAGAAATACTTTTTCCTTTAGTTTTGTATCAATGTATTTGATCTAATAATGTTGATTTTAAGCATTTCTATTGTTAAAACTAAGTTAAAAATGTCACTTTAAATTTCAAGTATAATACTATTAAATGGTAATTAGAATTGATTTTTTATTTTTAAAATAAAGTCGCACAACATGCTATTACTAGTATCTCAACGAAAAAATTGCACCTTGGGCGCAAAACACAACAAAAAATTGCAGGAAGCTTGGTTTGGCTCATTCGAATGAACACTCACCCCTAAGTCTCTCCTTAGTGAGAGGTCTTGGAATCAATTATTATCTTAGAGAGAAAAGGGATGTCTTGCTCTCCATGATCTACTTACCTTCACGGAGTAGCTCAGTGGCTCAAGAGGGAAATAATGGTAAAAGAGATAGTGGGGTCATGTGGTTGGAGCAACAACCTAGAAGAGACAAGAGGTGTAGGCGTATAGCTGTGTAGATCTGGTTGGATTCATCCTTTAGAGCGAATACCAACGAATCTGATTGTAATCAGATTACAATCAGATTCAGATTTACATGTCTAAAAGCTTTGGAGGGAAGTAACTCTAGGATTATGGATACCTAAACCCTGACCATGAATCATCAAAAAAACAAAAAAATTTAATCATATATCCCAGAACTGTCCTCTCAAGATGTATAATATGATGTCAAAACAAATGGGCAGCAGCCAGCAGGAGGAAGGTTTTGCCATTTTCTTGATAGAGTAGTGTCAAAGGATAGTTCTGTCAAAAGTTGTACATCACCAGCCAGACATCTGTTTTTTGGCTCTATCTGGGGCTTATTCATATAAACAAACGTGTGGCATTATCCTTGTTCACACCATTCCTGTCTCCTTCTCATGACTTCTTTGGCAGACATGACTCTTCTTCCTCACTCCTCCCCATTTCTTCTCCTGCTTATCATATTATTACTATTTACCCTCAATCATTCCAATAATTCCAGGCTCATCAATCCTCATTTCGCTGAAGAAGAGGAAGAATCAAGGCCAGTTTTTGTGAAATCCCAATTTCAGCAATTCCCCAGCTGCAGAGGCTGCAAATCTGATCAAAGTTACCGCGTTTCCTACAAGCTTGTTCCTGGCGGTCCCAATCCTCTTCACAACTGAGTGATGAATTTATATTTATATATATAGACACACATGTATGTATTTATGTATGTATATATTCTCAGATAAAGAAGGAAACTTGATCTGCCCCCATAGCTTTACCTTGTTTATTCACATCTGGAATTTGCTGGGTTTATATTGTATTTCTCAAGAATTTTTAATAGCAATCCTTCTTTAAGTTCTGTCTCACAGGTAATGTTGATTAATTTGAAGTTGTTCTCGTCTATATGTATTTCAAACTCCGTATTAACATATGGAGTCTTTCAAATTATATTAAGCTTGATGAACCGGCGGAACAGGAATCACAAGGATGGGGCAGAGAAGAGGCTCCAAGCCTCCAATAATGTAAAAAGTCACCAATAATGAATAAAATAGGGAGTATTAAACTCTTGATTTTGCAAAGTTGATTGGATGAGGATAATAATAATATTCATAACAATGATGGAGATGATAATTTAAACTAGATAGCGGTACCGGTTACGGTCATTGCGGTAGCGGCTAATGAGGCCGCTGGATTGAATATTTTCAAGTTCGCACAAGGTAGGAATACAATGTTTTTTTAATCAAATCTTTTACTCCCCCGCCCCCCTTATATTGACTCGTTTTACCTTTTCGGAAAATCCCACTAAAATTGTCTCATACCATATTTGATAAAGTTTGTGACTCTAAATCATTCTTACTTTATTCTTACCATATCAATTAATATCAACCATACAAACCCACTTTTTAATAATCGTGTCATTCTCTTCTATCCCGATATAAAAGGGACGGAGGTAGTATTAAAAATCGGAAGCAATGAGGTATGAAGCAGGACGACAAGGACAAAGGTTAAAGCGGTGCCGATTGTGGCCTGTTGGGTTCAGTAGTGACGTTGTAGCAGATTCATTTTGGTCTGTCTGCATCATGATTCACATTCACACAGGTATAGCGGCCCGATGCAGTAGTGCTGCCCACAACCGCTATATAGCGGCCGCTATAACTGTAGCAGTCCGCAATTTAAGAGGTAAACTTAAAATCTTCACTTTCCTTTTTAAGCTTGTCTAAAATAAGTCTACACTTCTATTTTTGAGAACTTTTTAATATAAAATAACCTTTACATTTACTCACCTTACATCTATTCTCTCTTTCACCTAACATGCACTCCATTCTCGAACCTTCTCGCTCTCCTCTCTCTCTGTGTCTTCCATCGATGCCGATTGTCTACAACTTTCATTCTCATCACCTCCATATTCGCTCTTTAATTTCCTTCTACTAAGATCCATTGGTACTGCATCATTGTCGTTCTCATTGTCAATAGATCAAAAAACATCACTCCTTAAAAGCTTTAAGCCGATTGACCTTACTAAATAGCCACATCCTACATAGCCAAACAGTCAAGCAGGTCACTGTTTGTGTCCTGCTTGACTGCTTTCTCCCTCCACCCCATGACTAACGTCTTGTTATACTTCAATGTGTATTGCCTCAATCAAGTCTATTTTTGTGATGACTATGTGTGTGTTTTCTTGTGTCGGTACACCTTCGGGGTCTTATTCTTCGAAGGGACCCATATTAATATTAAAAGGACCACTTGCAAGCCCAGAAATAAATGTTGGAGTCAATATTCAGATTAAAAGGACCACTTCCAAGCACAGAAATAAATGCTGAGGAAGATCAATTTTTTGGATGATGAAAGTAGAAGAAACTTTGTAAAATTAGAAGTAATTCAATGTAAAGAATGCTAGTATTTATATGAGTTTTTGCAAGTTAAAAGTAGTAGTGGATTGTAATATTAATTATTATTAGAAATAATGGCAAGGATATTACTTGTACACTTTACATGGAAAAAAAAATATGACCAGTTTTTAGTTGGACAGAAAACTAACCATTTTAAAATAAAAACTCTCCCCTCCTGCCCTCTCTAATTCCCGTCGTCCTCTGCGAAATCAGCGCTACCAAAACTCCTTGAGCCTTGCGACAAAGATGGCACCAGCGCTTGCGATGAAGATGGTGACCATCGATTCCTCTCCTTTCTTTTGCAATAGAGAGAGACGAAGATAGCGACCATTGATTCTCCGATCGATCCCTCTCCTTTCTTCTGCAATGGAGATCGACGAAGATGGCGATCAGCGGAGGCTACGGAGGCGCCGGCCGCTGCAATCCCTCTCCTTTCTTCTTGTCTGTAATCCACCACTGCTCACACACATCTGCTCGCCCGTCGTCGCCGTTATCCCATGGAGCAGCCGTCCATTTTTTATGGTTACTGTTTCAGATGGATGGCTAGAGTTCAGATCTAATGTAGTGGTGCGATTTTGAGGTCAATTTTGTTCGGCACTTGGGTTGTATGGTGGAGAACAGCGGTTGGGGTGGTTGGAGAGGGGTGGCTTGGGCCTGGAAGGGGAAGTGGTCGTGGTCTGTGGTGGCGGCCGAAGGGTAAACTGGTGGGAGGGGGCGAATTCTATGGCGATGTTGGTCGGTCAGTGGCCAATTGTGGAGCTCGGGGTGATGGGTCAGGGTGAGGGTGGGACAGGATCGGAGTGGTGAGGGCAGGACTGGGCCTTGGGGTGATGGGGTAGTGCAGGGGGCTGTCGTGACTTGTGATGGTGGTGGGGGAGGGCGGGGAGGAAGGGTGTGGTGGTGGTTTGCGGTGGTGGTTACTTAACCAGTGCTGCGTCTATTTCACTGTCTATTTCACTAAGCTGGCCCGCGTTGCTAAAGGAAAACACAATAGTGACATTTTTCATAGTGTTAGTGACATGGACGGTGGCTACGGTGACACGGGCGGTGGCTATAGTGATACAGGCTGCGGCTTTAGTTACACGTGTGGTGGCTACAACGACACGTGGGGGGCTACAGTGACACGTGTGGTGGCTACAGTGACACGTGCAGCGGCTATGGTGACACAGGCGGCGGCTACAGTGACACATGCGGTGGCTACAGTGACACGGGCGGGGGGCTACAGTGACACGGGCGGTGGCTACAGTGACACGGGCGGTGGTTACAGTGATATGGGCGGTTGTTGTTGTGGCGGGGTGTGGCTACAGTGACACACGGGCGATGATTGTAGTGATATGAGTGGTGACTGTAGTTACAAAAAAACGAACACGCAGTGACATAAAATTTTTGCAGTTACGACATGTTTTCTAATTGCACATATATGACCTTCTTAGTCACTTTTTTGCCCCTTTTTAAAAATGGTCACTTTTTGGTTAATTGGTTCAAAATTACTAATATCCAAGTAAAAACCCCTTATTATTAAGAACTTAGAGACAAGCCAAATTTTGAACACTTCCCTCTCTATTTGTACGAACCTTCTCTCTCTCTCAACTCTTGAATGTGAGGACTAGTTTTTTTTGCTTTATGAATAGAAAATTGGTAGATTTTTTACTTTTACTAGTAAGGGTATGTTTTTGTAAGAGTATATAAGAAAGTCAAAAGCAAATATTTCACTTTCTTAAAAAGCGTAAAGTCAACAAGAATAAATCATAAAGCATTAAAGCATTTCATTAATCAATAGACCATAATGAAAGTATTTAACTTTGAGTTAAAATAATTATTCGAGGTTGAATTTGGAGTGTTGATTGCATCATTCTCGATGTCAAATACAATGCGTTGATTCTTATTTGTTGTGAACATTTACATTGATATACTTTTTTTTGTCGGGTATGTGATTTTTATTATCAATAAAATCCAGAATACAGGAGAAGAGGGGGACTAGGCCAAAACCTCTTCGAGAAGGCATCCCTTCCCAAAAACAGTAAAACAGGTAAAAGAGTAAAAAAAATCTCAATGGGGGGCTAGACCTGGCCCATTGGATACACAAAATAAAACAAAGCTAACGGGCTATTCTCAAAGAAGGAAGCCCAAACAAATCCAAATAATAAGCTAAACAGGCTTGATAGGGAAGATCCACCACTCTATTAAATATGCTTACCTGGCCCGAAGATGCCAAATAATGAGCAGCCCAATTGCTCTCCCTCAATACAGCAAAATAGGAAACACCGCTACTTTCAGACAGATCCAACAATCGATTCCTCCACACAGTGTCGCCCAGCCTTGCGCCGCCTGAGATACTCCAACGCGACCATGGAGTCCATCTCCACCTGGAAGTCGCGAAAACCCCAATTGATCGCATATGTAGTAGCATCAATAACAGAGAGAAGCTCAGCTTCCAAGGATGAGGTTGCCGACAGTGGATACGATAAAGCTAGAATCATTTTCCCATCACCATCCCTCAGAATCGCACCCCCAGTCGCGCGATAAGGTAAGAAACTCGCATCCACACTAAGCTTGATATAGTTCTTTGGTTTCTTCCATTTGATAGGCATAATCGAAGGTCTAGGTAGCCTAAAACCTATAGGAATCAGCTGCTCCTCGGTTAATAGCTCACCAACCTTTATACACCCAGTAGGGGGAAATGAATTAACCCAAGTCTGAGTAAAGAACTTTATTTGCAGGATAATAGATATTGGAGTAGGCCTATTATCTTCAGTACCCCACACCAAGGAAGAATAGATTTTCCAAATATGCCATCCATTAATCCCTGGTAGGCAGTGTCTAAAAATATCCTCCATCCTTTTAGAACCAGCCTTGAGCCACCATGAAATGCAGATTTGTCTAAAGGAAACAATGTTGTGTAGGGTTGGGATACCCAGAATGCCCATAAAGCATTCCCATACAGGTCTAACAACATCACAATTATAAAAAAAAAAAAATATGATCCACATTATCCTCATGAGCTCTACACAAGGGGCATATAGAAGGATAAAGCACCAATTGAAAACGAAACAAATTTTCTGTAATTGGCAAAATGTTCTTAATCAACCTCCAGTCAAACAGCCTAATCTTTAAGGGTAATTTGGGATGCCAAATATGCTTATCACAGAATGTGGAAGGCAACTCTTCCCTGATGACTTCTTTGATGGTCCCGGATAGAGGTAAAAGTCTAGAGGGGGGGTGAATAGACTTTTAAAGCTTTTTCAGTTTTGAAACACTTTTCCCTCTAGATGAGTTGATCTATAATCTTTTGAGAGATTAATAGATGCACAGCGGAAGTCTTTAACCTCTTTATTATCAATATGAACCAGCTTTCAAGTTCTGGTGATGTTTGGACTTTAAACCTTGAGCAGTTGGCTTGGCAGTTGGCTGATGGCCAGATCACTGCTGAGGCAACTGCTGGGTTGGCAGTTGGCTGAGGGGCAGGGGACTGCTGAGGTAACTGCTTGAGAAACTAGATGACTCTTGGATAGTTTCTGTTCTGGCTTGTTAAGGAATTTGGAAAGACACGTATGGGTGGGCAGTGGACTCAGCAGGTGGGTGAAAACCAGGGTACTGCTGAGACACCTTCTGAGTTTTTGAAATCTTCTTTGTGGAAAGCAGTC